GTGGTGCGGTGATGTCATCAGGAGCTATCAAAATACATAGGGCTTGGCTTTGCCTTTCACAGACTATTGTGCTGTTCTCACTGATGAATTTTACTGCTTCCTGCTCTATTAGTGAAGCCATCTGGGCCATTTGTGGTGTTTGGGACTTTTTACTCCCATACTATATGACCCCTGGCTATACTTTTAAAATAGCTTTACCTGTTCTTTATCTCGTGCACACAATCCAAAATGTGTTCCTGTACAAGGTGGGGGAGCTATCTGTGTCTAGGGTTGTAACCTCTTGCCAATCCAGCACCCTCCTCCTAACCTGCTTTCTGAGTCTTCTGCTCTTCACCTCCTGCTCTCTGATGGAAACCTCTGGGGCAGAAGGAAGTTTTCTTGGAGAAGCCAGGGAACCAAGTATGACCTATGTGTCAGGTGTGCTTTGCTTCTGAGGAGGGGTGCATGGGCTTTTGGTACGCTGTTTTCGGGAGGCTCTGAGCCTCCTGCTTTTTTCCCCACATCCCCCTGGGTTCAGAGATGTTCAGAAGTTGATGTTGCTGGAAGTCTGATCCCAACAAGTTGGCTGTTACTGTATATGAAAACCCAGTACCTTTGGCAGCTCAGCTCTAACCAGTAAAATCAAGAGGATTCCATTGTTTCAGCAGTTGTCCTGGTTATTTGCCTACTTAAATGTATGACGGGTGCCCGACATGGTGAGCTGAGGAGATGACATCGTGTTGGGTGGATTCATAGGGACAAAAATAAATTGATAGAATTGGTTTACCTTTTTTATATACTTAACACAGAACAACAGCACCGTACGGTCACACAACACATACCTTATGTCTGGGGGGGAGTCGGGGGAGTCTGCTTATTGACATAATCTTGCCAGAACAAGGGCTCTGAACTGTGGACCACAGACTCCTGGTGGGCATGAGGTGGGTATTACAGGGGGCCTGGGAGTCCTGCAATTCACAGAGTTTGTGGATCGCAGACTGCAGAGAAGATCCTTACGTTTGAAGAATTTAAAAACTAGGTCCTAAAGCATTCAGAAGATCCCATCTGAATGCACCCCAAATTTTGTATTCCCAAAATATCACAGGAATATTCTGAGATCTTTATCTTCTTTCACCACCTCAGTTTTTTTCAAAACTCGAAATTCACCATTTCAACCATTTTAAAGTGTGCAGTTTGGCGGGTTTTTTCTTTTTTTTTTTTTTTTGGTATGTTCCCAGTGGTATGCAAACATCACCACTCTCTAATGCCAGAACATCTCCATCGTTACAAAAAGAAACTCCTCATCTACAGTCACTACAACTTCTCCCCTCTTCCTACCTCCTAGCAACCACTGATTTACTTTCTGTCTATGGATTTCTGTCTATGGATTTGCCTATTCTGGACATTTTATAAATGGAATCATACAATATGTGGTCCTTGGTGACTGGCTTCTTTCACTTACCACAATGTTTTCAAGGCTCCTCCATGTTGTAGCATGTCTCAGTACTTCATTGCTTTAATGGGTGAATAATATACACCAATGTATGGCTATACCACATTTTGTTTATCTGTTCATCAGTTGATAGACATTTGGGTTGCTTTCACTTTTTGGCTATTATGAATAATATAAATATTCATGTACAAGTTTTTGTATGAACATATGTTTTCAACTCTCTTGGGTATATAACAGATTGGAATATAGCGGGGTCATATGGCAACAAAAAGTAAAAAAAAAAGAAAGAAAGAAATCACATATACCAGGCAGTCAGAAGAATGGGTAAGTCTGTTACTGGTTAGATACTGTAATATAGCACTGATTTGGGGGAGTTTTTATAACAGAAAAAAAGTTATCTTAGAGAAATGGTTTTGATGAGAAGAGAAAGTAAAAGTGCTGTCTTTCTTTAAAAAATGAAAATGAAATTAAACTCAGGTGCATCTCCAAGTTCTTGTTTGAATAGCCGGCTCTTGTTCAGCCAGCAGTCTCTGAATGTTCAGGGAAAGTGCTTCCCCAGAAAATGTGCACTATGGAGAAAACCACAGTATTGATTGGCTGCTCAGTGAATTCACATCACTGGGGAGCAGAGGGTCTCTGCAAAACCTGGGATGTAACAGAGGGGAGTATGTCCTGAGAGTGGGAACAGGTCTCCCTCCAGGGCTCAAATCTTACAAGAAAACACAAAGAGGGGCACCCGGCTGGCTCAGTTGGTGAAGCATGCGACTCTTGATCTTGGGATTGTGAGTTCAAGCGCCACGTTGGATGTAGAGATTACTTAAAAAAAAATCTAAAAAGAAAAAAAAAACACAAAGAAAATAAGAAAATCCCCAAAGGTAATTTAAGTGAATGTGAGAGAACCTCGTGAAAGGAAGAGCCAAGTCAGCAGGGAGTTGAGAAGCAGAGTAGTTTCCAAGGCCCTCACGAGGCATGCAGACTGAGTGATTGATGACAACTATGGGGATTCTCCCTAGAAAAAAACCCATTCATCAAATGTTCCAGCACTTTCATAAGGTCCTCACACCACCCTGGAAGCCCATCTGTGGTCCCCTTTGAGTGCATGAACCCCAGGTTCTGAATAGTTGAAATCTACAGGTTACCTGCAAGCCTCATTTTAGGCTGTGGTTGCAAACCCACTTCCAACACCACCCTCCAACATCCCTTACAAAAAAAAAAAAAAAAAAAAAAGCCCACATGGTTTTATCAGGCCAATTTACTGCAAGAATGACCTGGTTTCCACTGGCCTTCTTTCTGGCACCATCACTGTTAATTATCGTAATTAAAATGAAGGGAATAATGAGGTCTCCTGGGGATGTTGGTAAAATGCATATCCTGATTCAGGGGTCTGCAGTGAGGCCTGGGATTGGTGATGCCAGCGAGCTTTCTGGGGATGCCGTGCTGCAGGTCTGCGGACCACACAGAAGCAAGGGGCCAGAAGGGCCAAATCTGTGTGTGGGGGGAGACACTTTAAGAAAGTGAAAGATAACAGCTTAGATTCTAAAACCAGAGACTCCGTATTGAAATCAGAAGCCTAATGCTTGCTTTATTGATCGATTGATTTTTGCTAAATGTCGGTCCATTTATAACTTACCATATCTTTCCTGGTGAACAGGAACAAAAAGAAAAGAAAGGAACTGCAATTTTTAAGAATGAGTTTTTCTTTCTTTTTTTCTTTTTAAAGAATTACATGTTAGATTTTTCAGTTGGCTTTTTTATATTTTAAAATGTTACACATTGCAAAGCTATTTTTTGGGGGAAGAAATCTGTTTTGATTTTCTTCAGTAATTACAGTTCATCTTTTTTCAAACAATAAATCGGATCTACTTCTGTATCCCGAACTGGTGTATCGGGAAACCTAGTGAGGCCCAAGCTTTTCATGAATTACATCTGATTCACCTGTCAGGCTAAACATGTTTAAACTTCAGCTGGACAATTCACCATCGGTGTCACCTGATACACAAAGGCAAACACCTGACCTCTGGGTCACATAGCACTTTTTACTATTTCAACCCCATCTCCCATCTCCCGTGGTTCAAAAGAGATTGAGATCACTAGTTTCTTTTTTGAATATTTGTATTTCATAATCTTATGCATATTCATTCACGCCATTTATCGCATCAAACCCTATTGAGCCTCACCTCTGTCATCTTACCTAACCTTCCTTGCCTTCACAGAGGTTACTCATACGTCACTCCACAGAGTCTGGGCCATTTTTGGAACCTCTTTGCTCTTCTGCCTCCATAATAATTTTCTTTGTTTATGCAATTAAATAAAAAGAAATAGAAAAAGCAGGCTAAAACACTGGCTCTGCAATGTCAGCGTGAAAGGAATTGTCCATGTTTTCTAACAGAAAACAGTTTAGCAGTTATCACTCCAAAATCATCAAAAGAACTCCAGGACCTAGCATATTCTAAGTGTGTGGTGTGGATAAATGGCTGAGTAAACAAGCGACAGTGAATTGCAAGCAGCAGGAATGGGTTTGAGAAAATGAAGAATTTGGGGCCGTCATCAAGCATGGTGTGGTCCTGCCAAGGTCTGTGCGGCCTGCTGCCAGGGAACAGGGTAAACCAGCTGCCTAGTTTTGAAGGGGTTAGGTTATGCGAGGGCACTAGCAGTCTCTATTGATGACACAGTTCAAAAGTCCGGGAGGAAGGACTGAATCTAGCCCAAGAGCTGGGTTCTAGTTTCCGCTCTGGCTCTAAGCATCTCAGTTTGCCTCTCTGGAGAGTGGGGATCCTGCTATTTCAACTTACTTCTGTGATGCCCCAAGAAATAACGGATATAGCTTTATATAAAGCAAAAAGTGCTGGAACAAAATAATGGGAGAGGCAGCAATTCTGGCAAGGTGTGTCCAAGGTACACCCTCCAGGGAGCACTTCTTAGATTTGGATGTGCACTGAGGTCTCCCGGGGATGTTGGTAAAACGCATATCCTGATTCAGGGGTCTGCAGTGAGGCCTGGGATTGGTGATGCCGGCGAGCTTTCTGGGGATGCCGTGCTGCAGGTCCGCGGACCACACAGAAGCAAGGGGCCAGAAGGGCCAAATCTGCGTGTGGGGGGAGACTCGTGGAGGGAGGCAGAGGATGGGGAGACTGGAAGAAAGGCCTGAGGAAGGGAAGCCGCTAGAAGAGAGTCGGAGCAGGGACACGAGGATGCTAGCAGGAAGGGTAGGCGTTGCGCCGGCTGGAGGGTGCGCAGAGCGAGGCGCGAGGCGGCGGGGACCGGCGGCTGCGCGGTCGCGCGGGCTGCGGGCGGGGGCGGGCGCGGGCGCGTGCTGGCGGCGGGCGGGGGCGGGCGCGGGCGCGTGCTGGCGGCGGGCGGGGGCGGGCGCGGGCGCGTGCTGGCGGCGGGCGGGGGCGGGCGCGGGCGCGTGCTGGCGGCGGGCGGGGGCGGGCGCGGGCGCGTGCTGGCGGCGGGCGGGGGCGGGCGCGGGCGCGTGCTGGCGGCGGGCGGGGGCGGGCGCGGGCGCGTGCTGGCGGCGGCGGCGGCGGCGGCGGCGGCGGCGGCGGCGGCGGCGGCGGCGGCGGCGCAGTCCCGGCCCGGCGCCCGCGGCGGCCCCGCTGCGGCCCGAGCGGCCTGGCTGCGGGATCTGTGCGCAGCCATGGCACGACCGCCCCGGCAGCGCCCGGGGGCCTGGGTGCCGCTGCTCTTGCTGCTGCTGGCCGGGCCCGGCGCCTGCGCCGCCAGCCCCGCAGACGACGGCGCGGGCCCCGGGGGCCGGGGACCCCGGGGCCGCGTGCGGGGGGACGCGGGCGCCGACGAGGCGGTGCCGCGCCACGACTCTTCCTACGGCACGTTCGCCGGGGAGTTCTACGACCTGCGCTACCTGTCGGAGGAGGGTGAGGCTGCGAGAGGGAGACGCGGGGCGGGGGTGGGCGACCGAGGCGGCCGCGGGAGCAGGGCCGGAGGGGCGGTTTGGCGAGGAGGCCAACGGAGGTAGCTCTGGGACCGAGGGACTGGGATGGGGGGCGCACTGCTCAGACCCCCGCCGGCCCGCAGGAGGCACCCCGGAGAGCTGTCAGCGCCTTCCACCCGCCGCCCGCTTTACAGGTAGGGAGACTGAGGCCAGGAGAAGGAGGTGGTCAGCCGAGCCCTGGGAGGCTGCGGACAGGTGGGGCTGAGCCTAGGCTCCCCCAGTTCTTGGCGTCTGGCCTCCACTCTCCCTGTCCGGGGTTGGGGTAGCGGGTGCTAGGGGAGGAGGCCGCCATCTGGCCTGGGGTGTGCGAGATCAGGGAAGCTGGTGGGGAGCAGAAATCACAATTTAAAGTGATGCTGTCTTATTTTCTCCCTGTCTGTATTGACCTAAATTTACAGTGACTAGTGCCCTAACCTTTCAGCGTTCTGTTCTTGCTGATTGCCTGCCATCAGAGCTGGGGCATATTTCCGTGCCCACTTCCATCCCAGTTCTTTTCTGTTATCACCCATGTTAGAGTTCCCTACTGTGAGCCACCATTGTAGGGGGCTGCTGGGCCCAGAGACTAGGGATTTTTCAGCTACAGACCTCCCTGTGGAGTTGCTTTAGTGAGCACAAAAGCCAAGCTGATTCTGTTGTAGAAGGCATAGAAACTGGCTTCTTCTGCAGTTTGGAAAGTAGTGATTTTTCCTATTTTTATGCTAAGAGGAATATGCAAGAATTAAATTGGGGTTGAAATGTCCCCGCAACTGATATGATGCTGGGTATATTTGTTATGAAGGATTCGGTTTAGCTGTATACAACAAGCACACATTAATAGCTTAAATAAGACAGAAGTTTCTCTGTCATGTAAAGAAATCTATAAGTAGGGAGTCTGGGCTGGTATTGGAGGCTCCATGCTCATCAGAGACCCTGGATCCTGGTCTTCTGCTTCTTCACAATTCTTAGCATGTAACTGTGTGGTCCAAAATGGCTACTTGATCTCCAGCCACTACATTCACTGTCCAGACAGTGGGAAAGAGAAAGTGGGAAGGTCACTAACTACTTCATAAGGAGATTACTCAGAAGTCCCATATAACAATTATACTTCCTTGGCCACAATGTGGCCACATGTAAATGCAAAGGAGGCTGGGAAAGTTAGCTTTTTAGCTGAGAGGCAATATGCCCAGTTAAAAAATTGGAATTATTGTATTGAAATGGAAAGGATGGATTTGGGGAGATATATTAGTTGGGTAGAGGTTCAAGCACTGAAACAGAGACCCCTACGTATAGTGGCTTAAATAAGGTACTTTATTTTTTTTTTCTCACATGAGTCTGACTGGTCTGGGCAGTTGGGACAGCTCTGTTCCACAAGGTCAGTCCATCTTGTTCCACCATCCAGTAAAGTTTTGTCCTCATTGGTGTGGTAGAAGATGGTTGCTTGCATGTCTTTGTTCAAGCTTGAGGAAAGGAGAAGAGGAAATTCAGGACAGGCCATTACCTTTTAGCCTGGTCACACAGGTCACTGCTGTTCACATTCCTTTGGCAAGAACATGACATGACCTAGCTGCAAGAGAGGCTGGGAAATGTAGTCTTCTAGCTGGGCAGCCATGTGGCCAGGGAGGAGGAGGGGTGGGGGAAGGGGCGGGGACAGACAAGCCGAAGCAGCATCTATCACCCTGGAAACGAACAAACATTTCAAAGCCCATCTGTTTCTGAAAGGATCTAATACATATTTATTCTGTTCGTCGTCAGCCCGGCACGCTGCCAGGTGACTCACGCATGGCACCCGAGAGCTCATATTCTCATTGGGCACATGTCCCTAACAGACGGAGGAGAACAAGGTCAGATGCTGTATGTCCGTTTGTATATACAGAGAGAAAGAAGTTAGTTGTAGAGTCCAGACGGTTTTATGAACATGGACGTCAGGGGGCTGAAGCCATCAGGGAGGCTTTATAGAGTTGAGCTAGGAAGTATGAAAGACTTTGATGAGCCAGAAGAGGGAGGGCATTGCAGTGAGGTGACCCCACAGGGCAACAGGGCATGTAATGTGTGTACAAATCCCTGGTTTGTCTGCTTGCCCCTCTCACCTGGTCTGCACATGCAGCCGCCGGAGGCTCAGCTCTAACCCCCAGAAATCCATGATGGTTCCAACCTGCTCACTGAATGAAGCTTCAACTCCTTTATCTGGAATTTTCTCTTTGGCCCAGCTTCCTTTTACCGTCCTCTCTTACTCCTCCCCTTTGCTTATCCAGGGATTTCACTGTCATTTCTTCTCTTCTCTCCAGCACTTTCACTATCTTCAAATGCAGACCCTACACCCGGCTGGTGGGTGCTAGTGGGGATGTTTGTGGGCTGAACCTCTCTGGGGCAGCACCTCTACTAGATTACCCTGGGCCTGGGTTTTGGCCCTGTGGATCCTGAATAGAGATTTTCTCAAGATCCTTAGAAATAATCAGTGATATTGCCTTAAAGCGTATGCCAGAGCGGGAGAAGCAGACCCAGGAAACATCCCCGGTGGATGTTCTAACCCAGAAAGTGAAGGGAAAGAGGGTGTCAGGATGCCGTGTCCCAAGCCATGGTGAGGCCCAGTAGCATGAAGGCTTGAAATAGTTGATGGATTTGGGAAATGAGAGGTGAATTTTGCTGGGATAAATTCAGTGGAGAAAGGAGGGACCCTGATTGATTTTGAAGGAAGTGGCAAGTGAAGAGGTAGAAATAGTGCCTTTAAACTACTCTTTCTTCTTCTTCTTCTTTTTTTTTTAAGATTTTATTCTTATTTATTTGACAGAGAGAGTGAGCACAAGCAGGGGGAGTGGCAGGCAGAGAGAGAAGCAGGCTCCCTGCTGAGCAGGGAGCCCAATGCAGGGCTCAATCCCAGGACCCTGGGATCATGACCTGAGCTGAAGGCCGATGCTCAACCAATGGAGCCACCCAGGCGCCCCCCTTCTTCTTCTTCTTCTTCTTCTTTTTTTTTTTTAAGATTTTATTTATTTGAGACAGAGAGAGAGCATGAGAGCACGAGGGGTGGGGAGGGGCAGAGGGAGAAGCAGACTCTCCGCTGAGCAGGGAGCCTGACTTGGGGCTCGATCCCAGGACCCTGAGATCATGACCTGAGCTGAAGGCAGATGCTTAACTGACTGAGCCACCCGGGCAGCCTAAAAACTACTCTTTCTTTCTATCAGTACAAATGGGGCTGTCTTTTCTAGTGATTGGACTACGTGTTTCCTCTGTGCAGGGGACCCCCTTCTCAGGTTCAAAGTAGCCAATAACTGAGTTTTCAATGAAAAGATGGCCTGGTGGTATGTAAATTCAAAGAAGGGAATTAAACTGATGGAGATGGAGAATTCACTGAAACTTCCAGAGAGCCCACTATTACCACCCTGTCTAGAAACCATTTCTCCAGTGTCCCGATAGCCCAAGACTCCCAAAGCCAGCGCTGAAAACTGGCTAATTTGGTATCTTTAATTGCCCCCTAAACATGTTCATTTTTTAAAATTTCTGTTTTGGTTTAACTATGCTAGGGTTGTTTTGTTTTGTTTTGTTTTTTGGAGAGAGAGTGCAGGGGTAGGGGGATGGGCAGAGGGAGAGAGAGAGAATCTTTTTTTTTTTTTTAATGTTTTATTTATTTATTCATGAGAGTCAGAGAGAGAGAGAGAGGCAGAGGCAGAGGGAGAAGCAGGCTCCCTGCCCAGCAGGGAGCCCGATGTGGGACTCGATCCCAGGACGGTCCGGGGATCATGACCTGAGCCGAAGGCAGACGCTCAACCATCTGAGCCACCCAGGCGCCCCGAGAGAGAGATTCTTAAGCATGTTCCATGCCCAGCAAGGAGCTCATTGCAGGGCTCCATCTCATGACCCTGAGATCATGACCTGAGTTAAAATCAAGAGTCGGACACTTAACTGACCCACCCAGCACCGCTTAACTGTGCTAGATTTTAGAATTCTTAAAGGTTTCCCCTGTCTTAGCCTATACGACTCATCTTTATATTCCTAACACCACTGCTACCTCTTTCAGGGAGCCTTCCCTGATTTTCTCCTTCTCCCCATCCCCTGCCATTAAGGGAGGATGTTCTCTTGCAGCATACAATCTAACCCTGCCATTGACCCTTTTTGCTGTCTATGATCAAGAGTTTGGATAGGGTCCTGGTGCTCGAATCCTACCATTCATACCTCTTCCTCTTGAGGTTCTTAACACAGAATCTATATATTCAGAACAACAGAATGTAAAATAGATTTCTTCATGATTACGGGCAAATATTCTATTCTGAGGGTTCTTTGAAAAAACTGAGTTGGGTGTTTTTGGCTTAGTGTTAAGTCCCAAGTAAAGCCTCCTGCTCTCTTGTCCCTGCCATGAAGATTTGCATGCCCTGAAGCCTTACTAGCCAGCCATATGGAGGGTGGTAACTGACTTGTCCCTAGAAACATACTCTGCCTTGGAAGGAAAAGAGGGAACATATTCATGGTTGCTTATCTTTAAGGCACAGTGATCTGACCACTCGTAAAATGTGGCCCATTTCTGATCAAGTTCCGACCACATTCTTTCCTACTCTGGAAAGAGCTAGTAAGACAGTAGAGAGAAGGACAGAGCTTGGGGAAAAGGGCACAAATTCCTTCATCTGCCTGTGTTATTCCTACAAGTACATGTATTATATGTGGATACCTAACTCATCACCTTGCCAGTCTGCAAGTCCTTTAAAGGTAAATAGCCTACATCTGATTTACCTATGTATCCTCCATGAGTGTAGTCTGATAATAACACTAACTGGGGCTAACTTTCAGTAAGTGCTTACTGTGCACCAGGTACTGTTCTCAGTTCCTTACCCATATTAACTTTCATTCTTACAGGAAACCTCTGACTTAGATGCTATTAGCCCCACTTCGAGTTCAGAAAACTGACCCACGGAAAAATTTAAATAGCTAAAGCCACACAGCTAGAAAGTAGCAGGGAACTACATAGATTTGTTGATTAACTTTATGGATGAGATGGTGCAAGTTGTCCAGCTCTTTGGAGTAGAGGGTCCCTGTTGATCTGCTGTACTTGGAAGTACAGTGGGACAGGCTGAATGAGGTATTTTGGCAGGCAGGCTTGAGGAAAGGGATTCAGAACCAATGGGGTAGGCAGTCAGTGGGGAACTGCGGGTTCCCTCCTGGTGGAGTGCCGTGGAGAAAGCTTTGCTCGATGGCCATTCACATGTGTGTGGAGCTTTCCGTATTTTCCATTTTCTAAAGCCCCTCGACCTTTGTACTTCATTCTCTGACTCTGATAAACAAAAACAATGATTCAGGCAGTTCGGACAGTGAAAGAGGCTGGTGTAGTAGTTCTCAGATTTGAACAGACAGCTGCTGGTTAAAACTTCAAGGAATCAAGTACTAAATTAATACCTGAGGGCTGTGAGCCAAGCAGTCAATTAGAAGCAATAAATAGCAGACCAGAATCCATTAACCACCCAGTGGAGGATGGCGAAACAGGCTCAAGGGATTGCAGAAGAGGAACAGAGAGTGTTTAGGAGTTAGACAAGAAAGGAAACCACAGATACTCACCAACTGATGGATATTTGGGTTATTTTCCATTTTTGGCAATTATGAATAATGCTGCCATGAACACCTGTGTACAAGTCTTTGTGCAAATATATGTTTTTTAGCTCCCTTGATGTATTTACATAGAAAATCAGAAAGAATCAACAGATCCATAATCAGGAGAATGCAATAGGTTGCCATAGGCAAGATCAGCATATGTAAACCAAAATCTCTGTTTTTAGCAGCAATAAGCTAGAAAATGTCAAAACAAGATATCATCTAAAATAGCAACAAAAATCTGTATATTGTCCAAATTTTGCCTAACAAAAATGCCCTGGTCCTTGTGTGGAGAAAAAATTTTAACTATTAAGTGATATAAAAAAAAAAAAGGAATAAATGGGAAATATACCATGGTCTTGGAAAGAGTAACTTGGTATTATAAAGATGTCAGCTCTGCCCCCATTCATCTATTCATTTACCGCAGTTCCATACAAGAGCCCAACAGCATTTGGGGAGAGAATTTGATAAATTAGTATCTATCCTTTGCATGGAAGAATCAAGTTCTGTGAATTACTGAGATACGTTACAATGCCTAGTAATTCATATAGTGTGGTCTTGGCTCGGGAACAGCCAAATAAACCAGAGAACAAAGCAGAAAAACCCAGAAATAGACCTGTGTTCCTCTAAGAACCAGTAAAATATCAAGGTGTCTTCATAAATTGCTAGGGAAAAGATGAGTTATTTAAGTAAATGGCATTGAGAAAAATTGAGTCAGTGTAGGGAGAAAAATAAAACTGTTTTCTTCACATCGTATAAAAAAAATAAATTCCAAATGGGTCAGGTCTAAATGTGAAAGGCAGTACTACAAAGTTAATAAATAAACGTGTAGGGAAAGATCTTCATGTCCTTAGAATGGAGATTAATCTCTGAGATAAGACTC